GAATTAAAATTTGCAGTATTGAAAAGTTTGGATCAACATTCTCGAGACTGATTTCAACTCAATTTCAATCCTTCAACCCCCAATAAAACTACCTAATTACGATTTTCATTTACTTTCATCTCTGCTTTATGATTTCTTTCACTTTATTTATCAACAAACTAATTTTCCACTTGATAACTTGACATACAGCAGCAGATGAAAAAGAGAAATAATATTTCTACTCAACTGGCTGATTCGTTCTTGCTGAAAAACCTGAAAGAGCAATAAAAAATGTCAAATTTCGATTACACAAAATAAAAAGTCAAAACATAATTAACTTTATTGCCAATACATGAACAACATGTGAGTTAGTGAACAAGCGATTGTAAGCATCAAGAAGCATAAAGGAAATGGATTGAAAAGAGATTCGTAAATATTGTGTAATAATTTCCGGTCAATTCCGGCAACAACTATCGAATCAATTGCCATTACTTGAGATCTATTTAATTTCTTCTTTTGTGACTTTTTATTCGTGACTTCTTTGTGTGCCTTTCCGTAATTTGAGATGCAATTGTTGTGGATGGATGGATTTGAGTGTGTTTTGGGACGAGGCAATTGGCATGAAATGCTTTGATGGAATAGTCAAACGAACTGCAGTTATTTTAAGAGCAATTAGAAATAATATTAAGCTTTTTTGGACTGTATTGTTATGAGCTGGATGCATTGAGATATCACTCAGTTCCTGGCATGGTCTATTTGGTCAATTGATTTTCAAAAAAATCAAATTTTTCAATATTACAAAGAATGACATCGAGAAACTTAGAATAGCCAATAAAATCTATATCTTAGTTCCATCTCACTCAAAATTTACCCAAAACTTTAAAATTCCCTAAAACAAAGAAATAATTTCACTTTAAAAACCGAAGAAAAAGCACTTTAGGTTTTTAATGAAATTTTATAGCATTATAATAACACTATCGTTGGACATGAGCAGAGAAAGGATACATTGTGATACTTGGAATTATGTTACATCTACCTACGTGGCAAATGGCAATAATAATAAGAACAAAAAAATACTGAAACAAGAAGAAAAAATAAAAAGAAGAGAATAAAAATATTTTTAATGTAAACATTTTGCAATGAGCAGAAACAAGTGGAAGGGAATGGGATGATGATTTTTGTTAGGGCGGTTTAATGCTAGGGAATATCTGGTATGGAATGTTTGGTATTTTTGGTCAATAATTAAGTTTTAAAAGATTTTTGGAAAGATGTTGTCACCATTGTAGGCAATAGTTTTGATTTCTGGCGATCATACTCATAGAGTTATACTCGAGCTGTTCTTGCTATTCAGATAACATCCCAGCTTATTTGGGTATATGTCATTTAACAGATCATAATGTCAAAACTGAATGTTAATCAACGGTATCAATGTGGACATACAATACACTTAACCAATATTAGAATTAATTAAATCTTCCAGCGAAAATCGCGCTCAAAAAATGAGAAAAAGAAATGAAAATAAAGGTTTTTATTCAGGCATCCCCCAGTACAAGGAAAAAAAAGCAGCCGGAATATAACGACGAGAGTTGAATATACACAAAAATACAAAATGAAATTCACTGGTGCAGAAAATTGTGTATCCAATTTGTTTCGTAAAAAATATCATTCCTTTTACTGCTTGCTGTGCTATGTGTCTATACACAATTTTATGCTCTCCGACATTGTGTTCCCGATATAATACAAATCTATTGTTAAAAGTGTACAAACAACTGACTTAAATGGGAGGAAAAAAAATGTGCATGTATGTGAGACAAATGGACATACCAGTTCCCCATACATATATCTAACGTTGCCCTTAACATCATATCAACAAACAAACAGAAAAAAAATAAAATATAAAATATAAAAATGGACAAAAAATATATTCTTCATTTTTATGTCGATTCAGCTGTAAAGATAACAGATACAGAACATCAAAAATTCATCATAAATATTTTTTTCAATCATTGACAGAATTTAAAAATAAACGAGACACACGAGCTTGACATTTTTTTTTATTTGGTTCGTGGAATTGAGTAAAATTAGAAATGACAGTAAACAAACATTTTTGGATGTTTGATTGGTGCTATGTCGTTTGAATGATTACTCAGCGGAAATTCGAAGGTTTCAAGTTGATTTGGGATTTTTTTGGGGGGAATTTCTAGGTATGTACTGCCTACTATTGATGTTTTAAATGCTTTAGTTCCATTTTGGCTCTAATTTGCTGTTCCAATCGACTCTGTGCTAGATTTAGCTCTATACATCCAATTCCACAAGAACTTCATTCCTTCAACAGTACGAGCGGGCTCCTACTTAATCAAAGCCACTTGCCAGGCACTATAAACACTTGCTGATGGCTCAAAACGCTGATTTGATTAGGGATCGAAATTTTGAGTTTCAGGACTCAGAATCGACTCAAAAAGTTCTTAAAAGATTCAAAAAAAATCATTCCTAACTAGCTTCATAAATATCACATAAAATTGCCATAACTAATTTTTGTCACTTACATCCAAAGCACTTGCGAACTCATTTTCTTTAATGGCTTTTGATGTCCTTTTTCATTTCAAAAAACACAAAAAAGTTTTTCTTAAAAAAGCGATTAGAAACTAGATACTTCTCATAAATTTCTGCGGTTCACCTGCCTTCCATAATTTCCTCTTCATCATAGCTTTCTCTTATTTTCTCGGAACGAGTCTGACAGCCAAGATCATAAAATATATTCGTTTTTCGTACATTGAGTCACGGTTAGGAGCTCCTTAAATAGAGGAAGAAAACATCCTGTGTGCATAAGCTACAAGGCAAGAATGAATATGAATTTCTCATCTCATCGCAGTGTGGAGGGTTCAGCGGACCATTTAGCTCGTAATGATGCTGCTAAATGTGAGGGTGGTAAGAGAAGAAAAAAAAAGTTTCTCGTGTGTGTTTGAGCGTGGATGGAAAAGACCTTGAGGGAAGTTGAAAAATAATTTTTTTTCGCACATTCACCACTTGAAAAATGATTGGATTGAGTTGACTCTTATTCCTTATAGCTTGGTGCTCTTGATGATGAAAATGGGAAATGGAATTTCATAAATATGATTACATTACGCACACAATTTTTCTTATTTTTAGCAACGAAACTTCATTAGATTTTTTTGGGATGCGGATTGTTATGGGATTTTGGTCCTTTCGACGTTAGCTTCAGACGTTTTAGGTTGAAGCCTGTAAATTCTGAATAATTGTGAAGCTTCTACCTGGTTTATAGCTTGGAAGAATTTGGGAAGAATCTAGTAGCTTGATAGTAGCTAGTAACTTTGAATCATCTAGTAGCTAGTAGGTTGCAAACTTGTCAAATATGCGCCTAATCACTTAGTAAGCTCCTCTCTCAAAATTAAAAATGCGCTCTATCCTCCTCATTCTTAATCTTTTCATCTTCCTTCAACTTACTCACAAAAAAATCCTCATCTTATAGGTAGCAACAGAATTACACAAAATTTCCATGATGATGAAATGGGTAAGATGGAAGTTGAGTGGCAAGTAGGCTCTTAAGAAATAAATGGGTCGATTTTTCATTATGTCAACATGAGAGAAACCCTCATTTTTTTAAAAATATATTCTTTCGGCTCTTTTAGTGCTGTGAAGGAGGAAGGAAAATTTTTTCAATCTATTTCAGAAAATAAAAATATTTTTTTTTCGATTTAATTTTTTTTCTCTGTTGAATTCATTTTTTATTTACAATTTTTCTCGGTTTTATTAAATTTTGTATTTTTTTAAAGCTTGAATTTTAAGAAAAATAATTCAGTATGGTTGACATAGCTGAAATAAGTTTGAATTGTCATTCACTAAATCACTTCTCAATGATAGTAAATGCGCCTTAGCCTCACTTCATTTTTAAGTGACTTTAAAACTTGTCATTCACTGTTATTGCGAAATTTTAATTCTGTTTTTAAAATATATATTTTCATTATATTTCTGTTTTTAAATGTGATTGTATAATTAACTTTTCGAATGCGAAAACAAAACTTCCACTCATTATTGCTGATAATGTAGCTGTTCCTGTATATGAAATTATTATTATTTTATTAAAATTATTGTTTTCGTAGATATTTCATTCGTTTTGAGCATTATTTAATGTAATTAAATATTTATAAGACACTAAGAAATTATTTCACATTTTTATGTCAGAATTTTCATTTCGTTTATGCGAGCTAGTTTTGGCGAGAAATGAGAAATGTTGTCATTAATTTTGATACGTCTTGTGTCTATACAGAGTATTTAGTGATGATGGACACCTGAAGAATCCTATAAAAGTGTCATTTATCGAGGGAAAAATTGCAAAAATTCTGCTAAATGCGCTTCGATATCAGCGAATTGAATAGTTCTTTAACTTATTCCACTTTGTCTGTAGAGGTCCGCGAACATTGCTGTATATTTCATATTTTTCTCTCTCTCGCTCCTCCATAAATTATTTATTCAAGTTTATGCTTATAATTTATTATGTCGACGCAAAAAATTATACATTTTTTATTCATTTGACTTTTAGTTTCAGTTGTGTCAGGGGAGGAACAGCGAATATGGATGAAACAAAAAAATATTCGCAAACATTAAAGTCGATTTAATTATAATTTAAAATGAAACAAGAGAGAAACTTTTTTTCATCAGAGGATAATGGAGTGATTAAAATTTATGGATTGGGGATGAGTAAAATTTTGGTGTGTAGGGGATTTGGGAGAACTAAGAACAAGCTCGAAGAATTGAGAGCGAATTTGAAAGAATTGAGAACGCTTTTGAGAGAATTGAGAGCATTTTTTGAGAGAATTGAGAGAATTTTTGAGAAAAATGAGAGCGTTTTTGAGAGAATTGAGAGCTTTTTGAGACAATTAAGAGTGAAATAGGGTTCAAAACCCAAAATGTCATTTCAACAGCCTGAAAAATTGTCAACAATAAAAACAATTAATTTAATTTTCATTTTATTTCTCTTTTATTTTCAATTAATTGCTATACAGATAAAAGATTACAATTACACAATTCTTTTCATCTTTATCATTATTTAATCGTTATTATTAATAATTTTTTGTAAATTATGTTTCCATTTTTCAATTTTTTTTCTTCATTTCTTCATTAAATTTATTGCTTTTTAATATCGATCCATTTTTTAAATATTTTTTTTTCATTTATTTTTCACAGTAATTACAATTTAATTTGTGTTTTTTTTACAAAAATTTTCTTCATTTTTGACTGGGATGAACTTTTTGTAGTTTTTTTTTGTGTGAATGACAAACTTTTGTTATAAAATTTTATAAATTAAACGTGCCAAAGATTGTGAGTAATTTTTCATCTTATTATTTTTTCCGTTATTTCTTATGTCCAGGTACAAATTTGAACGTCGTCAATTTATCGACTAAATTTTTCTTTTTCTTATTTTAACTGAATTATTTTTCAATTTTTTAATTTTCTTTAATTTGTTTTTTTTTGTTTCTTGAAAGTACACTGAGTGGGAAATTATTGAGAACTGGGACACAATTAATTAAGTTTTTTTTAAAATCCATACCTATTCAAAAACTTTCTTCCATTTTCAATTTGAAAAAATTCAATTCACACTATTTTGATAGAATTGAAATTTTTCAAATTTAACGTTTTTTTGATTGGACAGAGAGAGATAAAAATACAACACTGAGATCGTTTCTAATTCACTAGATTAATTTGTTTTTAAACTATATTTACAGATTTTAATTTTTCTTTTCATTTTCATTCGTATTTTTATAAAATTTTTGATGCTTAAATAATGTCAATATTTTAACAATCTAAAATTTTGTCATTATTTTTAGCAATTTTGTAAGTTGTTAAAGCATTTTGAGACCCATCTTTGAAGCTACAAATCAACTTTTTGAAAATTTTTCAAATTAAGTTTTTAATTTTTTTCTTAAAAAAATTATAATTATTAATTTCATCAACATTAAGCCTCAAAATGCTTCACACTTACAATAATCCAAATTAATCTCCCATTTCTTTTAAAAATATTCACGTTTACTTACAAAATTTACTATCTGCATTATACTTAATAGAATTTATTAAATTTTTTAAGTAGAATTATCAATTTATTTCTTTCTTGTTCATTCAATTAAAAAATTTATCATTTTTTCATTCACTAGGCTCATTTTGTTTTGTCGCATATTAAACATTTTCATTATGCTCCTTAAAAACTAAAATTATGCGATAAAAAAAACAATTTAAATTGAAACTGAAATTGCTTAAATCCTCTTAAAAAGTTTCTTTTTCGTCTTTTTTTTTGCGATTTAAAATATTAAATTAAATAACTTATTCACTGAAGAGAAATGAACATGACCTCGAAAAACTCAAAAAAAGTTTTTTAATCTTCATTTTCAATCTTTTTGCTCACTTCTTCAAGCTCTAAACATGATGGTAGGGATGGTATATTTGAGGATGTTGATGATGGACTTCCGGCACCTGTGAATTAAAATATTTTTTTTTGTTACATTTATAAAACTTTTCAGACATTCTTGAGAATGCAAAAGAAGAAATAAAAGGTCAACTTACTGTGTGACAGCGTTGGAAGTCCAAAAAATGAAGATCACTGAAGACGTGGCCAGTAGTTTGTTCCAAGACCAGAAGTATCTTGTGATCCGATTTGTACTGGAACACTTACACCAGCTGTTATGACACCTGTGACAGATTTAGAAAATTTATATAAGTATTCAGCTAGAATTGTCTCAGACTTAAGTCTCTTTCTCAATCTTGTCTCAAACTAACCTGTACTTGCACTTCCATTTGTACTGTAATTGTGTGATGGAGGTTGTTGATGTGCGGCAGATGGTGTACAACTAGATCGTGACGCACTGTATGGGCTACTGAGCGTATGAAGTGGATCGGTAAACATGTATGGGTAGCCATCACGCTGTTGCAAACATGTAGACGTCATTGAGCCCAGTGTTGGCGGCATTGCACTGTAGTAAGTATGAGGAGAACTATTTTAGTGAATTTATGAGTGCACATTTTAAAAATTCAAACTAATTACCTATAACTTTCAGCCATTGTTGCTATTGGTTGTGGAATCGATGTATACATTGAATTGAAGCCAGAATTTAAAGGTATTCTCGGTGTGGTTGGCACTGGTGGACTGACTGAGTTTGTATTTCCTACATTTGCGCTGCCATTACTTCCAGCAGTTCCATTACCCGAATTATTATTGTTATTAGTATTGTTATTGTTATTATTATTATTTGGAGTTCCGCCATTTCCAGCACCGCTTACATGATCCACCGAACGTCTTTGTGTTCTTAACTTCTCTTCTCGTCTCCATTTCGCACGTCGATTTGAAAACCATACCTACATTCATTTGAAGGAGGAAAAAAGTAAATAAAAATGAAAGAAACTCATTAAAAATTTATGAAGATGTTCAATGGAGTTGTTTTGTACAACAAGAAAGAACAGAAACAACAGAAACAACAGAAAAAGTAACATAAAATTGTCTACAGGTGTGTAGAAGAAGATGCAAAGAAAAGAGTGCAAAAGAGAAGGAATAATAAAGATGAAGATTGAAATAATAAAGTTTTAAAACAAAAGAATAAGAACTTAGCGCATTTTTGCATAACATGTATTATATTTTGAGTAAAAATTCTTTAAAAATTCTTTTAACATGGCACTAAATGATGTTGCAGAAGCAACATTCAACTCTTGCCAATTTTTTATAGGCAAACTTCTAAAAGTGGTTTTAAAATTGTGCATTTGCGATGCTTTAATTTGCAAAAAACAATTCGAAGTGGAGACTAGTGCAAATTTAAAGTTTTTACAGCCGTTAAATTTGTTAAGGAACATTTTAATGATATTTACAGTAACAAAACGCTCTACAAACATCTTTCAAACGTGCGTCTTCTTATTTTCCATTCTAAAAATACCGTGATTCTAAATTGAAATTTGATATTCCGAAGAAAATTCCTCCATCTACTTGTTCTTTAATTATCTCTCCGTGTACAGCAAATATTATTCAGCATTTAATGTTTATAAAAGTTAATGAAAAGCGAAAGCAATTTTTTTGTGTTTGCACAATGGCAAAGCTGAATGAAGCGAGCGTTGAATGGAGACAAAAAATAATATAATGTTTAAATGAAAATGAGAAAAAGAAGAAATGCAAACATTTTTCCACTTGATTTAATTTCTGATTTTTTACACACAGCATAATGACATTTTTTTCCCTTCCTTTGAAATGGATTTTGTTACAATTGATGTCAGTGACTCATTGCATTAGAACGATTGAGTATTAATTAGTGACAAGTTGAAGGCATTTATGAGGTTGAGAGTGCAATTGCTTGAGTATATGTGGCTCTCATTGAGCTGCTAGATGGCTGATATCTGTCAGATATATCTGTGCAGCTCAGGTTCGCAGAAACAATTAGATACTAGTCGATTGAAGGTTAAAATTTACCCTAATTTACTAAAACCACTAAAATTTACCAGCACAACAATGAAGCTACCCTATTCCACATCCCATAACCTTCCAATTCATAATAAAATAAATTTTTCTGTCGCTATCAGCACAACATAATCAAGACAATTATGAAATTCAATACTTTATTTTCCCAACTATTAAAAAAATTGCATCGCAATGACACATTCTTCTACCAGGCATTAAAATTCATCTCCCCATCGTAAGGACAGAATGTATATCATCGCAAAAGAAGCAAAACAATAATAAAAGAATAGGAAAGAAAAACATTTTAGCAAAAAAACATAAAAATTTGTTGTTTATATTTGTTATTATCCCAAATGAAACACGACAAATTACATTGCAAATAAAAACAAGCGACAGAAGTGGAAGCAGAAGCACATACAATGTTTATGTCCCCTTCCACAATTTAATAATAATAAATATTTTGTATCATTTGACAACTCAATTGAATGATGATAAAGTAAAGAATTTAGAGGGCTTACAATGTAAGAAGGGCATGCTCAATGAAGGGAAATGAAATAATTTCGAGTTGCTGATACGTTTTCTTTGTGTACTGATAGATATATTTATTACGAATGGCAGTGGAACTAGACATATGGTTAATTTTTATTATTGTGATTATTAATATTATTGTAATGTGAAATGTTTACACAGTCATTGTGATAGGACAAATGAATTATTGAAATTAGACTAAAGGTTAAATGGTTGTGAGTTGTTGAAGGTTATATGTTGAATTTTGTAGTCAACAAATCATTCTTTGTAAATTTAGTAGCAATTTTGAATGCTATTGTATCCACAGACTGTTTTATTCATACCTTGCCACTATTTTAATCAAAATTTGCTTAAATTTGCCTATCAAATAGCTTTAATTATGCTAAAAATGACTAAATCATTTTCGAAGTGAGAGTGACTCCAGTGAAAAAAATTCAAATGTTTGAAAATCGTTAAATTTTTTTCAAAGCCAAAAAAGTTTTTTTGTACTTGAAAAAGCGCAAAGTTCTTAATTTTAAATCATTCAAAGAAAGTTGCAAAAAAATCGAAAAATATTCAAAAAATCATCAAAAATAAAGCAATCAATTCGAAATTGGAGGTCATTGACAACACAAAAAGGAGAAAAATTTCCATATTCTTTTCTTTGATTGGCATTTTATGTTTACCGACTTTTCGTGTTGCTGTAAAAGTACCTGAATTCTTGCCTCGGGTAATCCTATTTTCTCAGCTAATCGTTCTCTTGCAAAGACATCAGGATAGTGCGTTCTCTCGAATTCTGTATTGTGAAATAGAAAGTAAGTAGAATTAGAGCTTGAAGATGAGAGATATGTACTTGAAAATAAGTCTTCTATCCTTTTGTTAATTAAATACTTTTAAGTAATTTTTGTTTAAAAGATAGAAGACTGCTTAAGGTGATCACGTTCCTTATAAGTCCTTGAGATAATCCCATCATTATTATCATCCTTATTCTTACCTTTTTCAAGACTGTCAATCTGTTCATTGGTAAACGACGTACGATTTCGTTGTAATTTTCTTTTCAGTCGTAAGCGCATCTGTGAATCTTCATCACCGGATGAATTATGCTCTGAATTACCGTCTGATGTGCTCTCGTGTAGACTCGATTGCTGAATATCGACGGAAAATAAATCTGCATGAAAAAAAAAATTAAAATTTTTATTACTTTTTTGCTTCGAGAATGTCATTTAAAATTTTTTTAATGTTCAATTTCCGTCTTTAAATTTATGTCTATGCTCAGTTTTTTAACTAAGTGTGTCGCTATCTTTTTCGCATTTTCATATTTCATGCAATGACACATGTCATTGCAGCGTGAATGAATATGAACAATGTAGCAAATTTTAAATGAAATTCATTGCCCCTTCACTAAAGCTACATAATCTTCCTTTTAACACCCTCTTCATAATTTTTATTATTCGAATAGTTTTTTCTCCTCTCTTTCTGTTATCCCAAAGAGCTTTAGATATGCAGTGTCAGTGCTATATGCGTTGAAAAAAAAAATTATATCGGTGTTTAGTGAAGTGAAATAAATACAGTGTGAGCAAAAGAGAGTGGTGAGAGGGATTAACTACATTCAAATGCTATTTTTTCTCTGTTCGTCGTGTAGATTCAACCCAGTTGGAAATGACTAGTTTTAAGGGGTTGAATTGTGCGCGGTTTGACACATGCTGATATAGGTTTGAGATCGTTTCATGTGAAATTTTAACTAATTGACATAGTGCATCAAAAATACGTTCGTAAAATGTGCATGCACCAGACATGATCTTCCTTGATGTAAAAAATTCAAAACTTCCTCACTGGGCCAATAAAATATTTTTAACTCATCTATTTCAGCTGTAAATCAATTGTTGAATGAATCATAAAAGATGAGAGCCGAAAGGAGTGTGTCAAATTTTTAATTCCATTCCTCCCTCAATCGTTTTTCATTATAGTGTGTGAATTGTCACTTATGTTACTTGATACTGTTATTATTATCGTTTATTAAATAATAAAAATATAGAAAAAATATGATGATTTATGATTATTATTATGTTTTTTTTTGTAACATTTTAAGTATCCTTTTGTCAAATCCCTTCTGTAAGTGATACAGCAAATTTTCATATTTGTTCCTTTAAAGTGGGATGAATGGCATACACAAAGAATACATAATTTTTATGAAGGATGACTGTCGCTTTTTGTTTGTTTATTTCGAGAACTATCAATTACCTAATTTGCTTTTATAAATGAGCATTAAAACTGTTGCACATGCTTTATTGTAAAGTTATTATAGAATATTAAGATGGGAGATGATGGAGTAATTATAGATTGTGATTAGAGAGTTTGGACAGAAGTTATGTGATTAATTGGAATTGCTTAAATCCAAGAAATAGTAGACAACTCATGAATCTAGTCAATTTTGAATACTGCCAACTCTAGTCCCTCAAATCCCCAATTACTCATCACTACTCCCCCATCCCTATCAATTTCAATCCGTTCCTTAAACAATTCCACATAATTGGCTATTTCATAATTCCATTACGACATAACGATGACTCAGAAAATCCAATCGCCTTTTACCTCAAACAATGTGCCTTTTTCTCCATCCACAGTCTACAGAAATAGAACAGAAAAATGCAATTTGTTGATGCCTCGGATAAGCTAATCAAAATAATACATAAATTGAATTTTCTATTCACCGCAGTTGTGATTTGTCGCATGGAATACATGAGCAAATGAAATTTATAATGCTAATGCCTGATCTAGTTAAATTTATACTCTTTCTGGTTTATTCCTTTTTTTTTTGTGACAACAAATGTGCAATTTTATGTAAGCAGAAGGGATTTCTTTTTCTTAATTGTTAATCCACCCTTGCTTTATGTTTTGGGTTTGATGTAGTCTTATTGTTGGTATTGTGGACAGTATGTTGCAATATTTTGCTGTTTTCATGGAATTTGTATTGAAATAAGTGAATTGAGACATTTAATGGTCTGAGGTTAGAATTGGATGAATTATGCTTTGAAAGCTAAGGAACTTGGTCATCCGATGTTACATAACCTCAATTCTAAGTTTTCTTTTGCTTTCTTTGATCTTTTCCTCCTCATCAGGTTAGGATAGTATTAGGTAAGGTTTGGTTATGTTTAGGTTAGGTTAAGGCTAGGTTGAGGCTAGGTTGAGGTTAGTTTTAGGTTAGGTTAGGCATTAGTCAGGTAAATGCAGACTAATGGATCTCAAAAACTCAAAATGGAAGTCAACTTTCTCATGCATTCCAGTTGTAGATTTATTTCAACCAATATTAATAGATTCACCTTTTAAACATTGTGAATCTAAAAACTCATCTCAATACTCGACTTTTCTACTTCTGTCAACCTTCATCACAGATATTTTTACAGCTCATCCATGCCTCTAACTGACAATAATAAAAATATTACATTACACAATAATGAATAGAACTTTTTCCTTTTCTATTATTATGTTTAGCTTGTTAAAGAGAAATATTTATATTCATAATTATAGCAATGAAATAATATAAATATGCCGAATAAAAACAATTGTAACAGAAAATGTGAGCACACACACACACACACACACACACAAGAAATGAGAAAGAAAAGAAAGAATTAAATAAAAAGCGACAGTGCTCATAACGACATTCAAATAAATAAAGTGAATGAGAGAGAAAGAAATAGAATAAAATAAATTGGATACAATTTTACACACCAATGAATTTCATTTTGATCATAAAAAGGATAAAAATGTGTATATACATAAAATTGCGTATATTGCCAATTATTTCTTTCTTGTGTCATTATATTTATAGCGTCTATATTCATATTTTTATTTCTGATGAATTTTATTCACTTTTTTATAGGTTTGAGTTTGCTTGATGGATTTGTGGGCTTGAAGATGACTGAGTGTCCAGATTTTTGAGGTTGGAATTTATAAGTGTTGACTTACTTTTACAAAGTTTTCAAATCAATTGATCACAATCGACAAATTAAACTTTGAAATGTTTAAGACCGTTAAATTTTGAATTTTTTTTGACCTTTAAACTTTGAAAATTTTCTGATCATAAATTTTTGAATTTTTTATGACTTTTTTGCGCTCTATAAAAATCCAAACCATACCAAATTCCTAACTCATTTCATATTATTTTCATCAAACACTTATTTCACATCAATTCGAGCCTTTTCTTTTATTCCAAATTCACTCGCTCGAAAATTTTGATTTTATTTCTTTTATTTTAATTGCTGCTTTGAACCTTTTGTTGACATTTTTTTTTGTGCTTTTGAAGATGATTTTTTTTTGGAAAAATTTTCCTTTGTGCAATTTTTTTTCTTTAATTTTTATATTTTTTTTTGTGAGCTAGATGTTGAAAAAAGATGAAGAATTTTATGAAATCGTAACTAACGTAGACCATAAAGGTTTGGAATATTGGGAATGGATGGCTGAAATAAAAGTTTTTTGAAATTTTTGTAAGGTATGCTCATTAAAATTTTACAATTTATGATTTTAAACGAATTTTAAAACTATTTTTCAAAATAGGAAGTGGTGTTCTTGTAACTGTGGAGACATCCACAAAGAAAAAGTTTACAAAAATCTTCTTTGAATCACACAAAGGCAGCTGTAGAAATCGAAGAGAAACTTCTGTGATTTTTATTTACAGTTTGCAAAGAATTTTGCTAATTTTAGACTTTAAATGAATTATAAGTTTTACTTAAATCATTCTTTGGACTGACTCTAGTAGTTCTTAAGCTTAACTACGTTGGTCAATAGTTTATTCATAGTGAATTTATTTTCCTAAGAGATCAGCCTCAAGCTTGGGAATCGAACCAACATTTTCACAGAAATTATTGTCAATAATTTCACTTCTGATGCCTAATCACTCGGCCATAGAGACTCTCTTCCCAGCTAGAAGACATTCACCATATATGAATCCATATCAATCATTAAAATTATTCCTAATTCTAATTTTCCATACTTAAATAAGTATCACTTCACCTCAACCTCTACTCAGTCATATCAAAGAGCAAACAACAGCAAGAAGAACGTTTGCAACTCATTCTACATCCATATTAATATTTTCAACAAAATTAAAGCAATTAAACTCAAAATCTTATGCTTCTTATTCCTATTCATCTCAATATGAAACTCAAATATCAAAGCAAGTAGGATGAAAAAAGAAATTATTCACTGGTTTTTGAAGGATTTTTTACATCTCAAACAATTTCTCCCTTCTCATTTTTTTTGCAGCCATCCATTCAGAGCACATTAATTGAAATCGCAACAAACATCAAAGGTAAATAAAACTAGAAAGAGCTTTTTGTGTGTGCATGTAACATTCAAAAAAAAGTAAAGCATTTATAACAATGTGCTTTTTTGATGACAAGTTGTTGAATTCAAATAACTTTTTTTCTTCTTTCTTGTTGCTTTGTGCCTCGCTTTTGATAATTTTTTTCATCAAGTGGATGTTTTTTTGTGTTGATGAAGAGGTTAAGAATCACATTTGGCGGAAAGAAGAGTAAAGTTTACAAGTCTTAAGGCTTTAAGGGACTCATCGATGTCTTCAAGGTCAGTAACAACAAGAGTTTGGTGTTTATGCATGAATAGCTACCCACCAAGTCCCAATTTAAGAAGGTATAGTGCAGTTCCTAAGAAATTAGCCACAATTTTAATTTTCTCACCTTCAACCTTGATTTAACCACGTGAATCAACCTCAAAACAACAAAATGCGCTCTATCCATAAACCCAAATAACTTCCCAACTTCCACTTCCTACAATTTAACTCAATTCAGATACGAGAATCAAATTTTAAAAAAATCTACACGAGAGGAAAAAAAATCTTCATTTCCTTTGATCTCTGAATCGCTTTTGCCACGCGTGACTGTCTTTATTCACATGCGTCGAGTCTATTGGTGCAAATGAGATTCCTCATAAAATTAGAAAGGATTTTCACTCGTCGTATGTGCTATACTTTAATTAAGATTTAGAATGTGCTAGAGTAATAATGAATTGCATAAAAGTGCCGACATCCTTCATGCCTTTTAATTACGAGTGAAAATTTTTTTCGTTGATTGTTCAATTCATTTAATAATATTCCATGCGACTAAAGTGATCTCCTTATTTTTAGATATGATTATTATTAATCTACCGTAAGGGTGTTGCCATAGTGCATTGAACTTCACAGATTGCCACTTGCCAGTCCTTCAAATGCCTCCTTCTTTTTATCGCATTAGAAACGGCACATTATTACCTAACCTGACGTTATTTTGATGTGATGAAAGAAGAAGGAATAAGAAATAATAGAGAGGGATTTATACACGCTTGACTTGACTTTTTGCACATTTAAATATCATTAAGGCACCTGTGATTTTATAGATTTTTATAGATTTTCATAACTAAGGAAGGATGTTAGGCGGCATGGAAATATTAAGGTCACTAATTGGACATAGCTTAGGAATTCATGACAGGTATTGAATTCTTTTTTAGGTTATGTTACACTTAAAGCCATTTTTATGTCAAATTAAAGCACAGCTACTCATTAAAAATTCCCATCACCCAGCATGGCTCCAATGATTCATGAAAATTACGTGACATGTACAATTTTTATTTCCTTCATCGATCCACAACAAAAAATATATAGAAGCAGCATCCACATTCAGTCACAGCCACATTATGCATGCAAAATTACGGAAACATAATATTTGCATATAAAATCATTTTCCATCGATAAAGTTTCACATGGTAGACGCTTTTTCTCTCTCTCTCTTATCTTGCTTTCATCCAGTCATTGGTATGTATGTTGAGCATGTGCAATTTGTGTACGTACATATGTAGATAACTTACACAAATGCTCTATAATAACATAAACATTAATCTAATTGCTGAACATCAATCATATGTATATCCGTATAATTTTGTCATGAAATTTCATTAAAATTGACTTTACTGCTTGCCAAATATGCTTCAAACTCAATTTATTGATCATGTCTGTGTTACTATTAAGCATAGTTGATGTATCTTCCGTGGAAAATTTAATTAAGTTTCTAATAATTAAACTATATAGTTTTTTATTGGATCAAATCAAGCGTGAGTATGAATAAAAGTTAATTACTATGTGATGTTTAATTTTTTTGGTAATTTAAGGTGTGATGTGTGAGGTTATGTTGATGTTTTGATAGGTTTTCATCAATTTTGGTGGAATTTTTGCTATTTCACTCAGTTTTAATCCTTTAAAAGCTGACAATACAACTGTTGCCATCTTTTTATACAGTGTCACAAAGTATTTGAGAGTTTAGGAAGCTAAATTAGAGAATAATTGTCGAAAAACTTTTTGAAGTGACCAAAACACGTGGTTTCGAAAATTCGAATTTTTAAAAATCCGTTAGAAAATAATTTTCTTTCTGACTAGTTTTATGCCAGAAATTGAACATTTTAACACTAAAAGTCTTAATAATTATAACAAAACTCACCTCGTTTCTGTATCTCATCCCGCGTCAATTGTCCAGTAAGTTGTGCTGATGTAGGTGTTGGAGGTAAAGTTAAGTGTGTTGGTGCTGTATTACTTGTCGGATACCATGCCCATCCACCTGATTGACCATTAAACATTCGAAGCTTATCATAGACGGAGTCACTTGATGACGATTGTTGCTCTTTCTGTGATGCTAAATTCCGTAGTACCCGATTTATTGATGAAACCTGTAAAAGATTTGTAAGCAAAAAAAAAAATCATGAATTGATGATCCCTTTTTACTCTGAAATTCTTGTCTGCTTTACGCAACAATAAACAATTTTGAATCTCAACCCTTAAAATATGCAAGAGAAAACTTATTTCTACAAAAAACCTACACATTGAATATGAATTGTTAGACATTGTCGATATGCTTGTTAGACATGAATGTTGAATAATAAATTTTATACACATGAGAAATTTTTACACCAAGTTTTGAACTTTACTTAAAATTTAACAAAAAATAAAATAAATTTTAATGAGGCTTTGTTGATTTTGTAGTTTTGGATAAATTTTATTACATGTGCAAAATGGAAGTAGAGATGTAAAGTTTTTGGTTACATTGTGTGAATTTTAAATAACAATGTTGAATATTCTAATTAAAATTTCATGGAATAAAGAATGAATTGAAAAAGTTTAATGAATGTAAAGTTTTTGTAGTATTGCTTTTTTTAAAGTTTGATCGTTAAAAATTTGAATTTAAAAAATCCGTTACAAATTTGATTTTTATAAAGCCGTTAAAAATTTAAACATTTGAAAATTTGAATTTTTAAACATCGTTAAATCACAAAATTTATTTATAGTCTACAATTTCTGACATTTTACTACGTCTTTGTCTAGAATCTTCCAAAAAACTCAAGATGACATCCAACTTCGTAAAAATTATGCAAAACACCCCCATTGTACCTTCCAGACACAAAAGTATAAAAATTCACAAAATATACAATTTTTTTTTGCGAAATAAAAAGAAAATCAAAAAAGGTCTGACACCGACATTTGTGCTAATGCTATCCTATCCATCCACACTCACACAAAAATTTCTCATTTGAAAAAAAGGCTTACACGGAATGAAAAGTGAAATTTTTGTGTATGTTTGGATTAAGCCTTTGGGGTAATTTGTTGAACTACGAATGGTCATCTCATTTAAATTCTTCACATTTTCCGAGCATTTTCACTCCTTTTTCCATTGCTCCTCATTCCCTTTACTTTTTAAAATTGAAGCTGAATAAATACGAATTTTTTGTGTATTTTTTATGGACGAAAATTCATCCACCGTAATAAATACACAATGTAGACCAGGCATGGTTGGCATGTGCACGAAATTTTTTACGCAATTTTAAGCGTTCGTCTATTTACTTTAGATCTGGGGTTTTCATTGAAAATACAACATTGATGCCGAAGAGTTTTTTTTTTATTCTCTGCATTTTAAGTCACGCTACAAAGATTTTTGAGTCAATTCTTCTTACTTCTTTTTTTTTGTATGTTGAAAAGTCAAACAATGAGATGAGAATTTATTTTTTGTGTATTTTATTCTTGAACCTCAACTCACTTGGGATTCTTTTTTTGATAGAAGTTATTCTTTTACTTCTTGAATGTTTTGTTTTACGCTGAGGTTGTAAGTTTGCTTGTAAAAACGTTTGGGAATTGTGTATTTTAAGAAAACATTTATTCAAGAATTTTCAAATTTTATGATATATTGAAGATTCTTAGGTTTGATAGGTTAGAAGACTGAATCGACTAGGTTTGCTAAATTATTCTTATGAAACCTACAACTGACTATACTTTACTGAAAATAGAACTGGTTGATTAAATGTCAAAATGGATTGAAAATTAGGAAACTGTTAAAATAGCTGAATTAGATTGCCATAATTAAAAGCTGCATGCCATAGTTGTAGCATGACACAAATAAGAGCAATTGCTCGACATGGGTTCAAATCCTATTCTGTCCTATTTTTGAACAATTGTCCAAAAGCAGCTTCATTTTAGCAAATAAGCCTAAACCTAGCACATATAAAATTAAAGACTCCCTTTGACTATGCCTTTGACCCCTCCAAAAATTAATTTCCAAATCAATACAGCCAATTACCATAAAACGTCTCGAAAAAAATACAGAAGCCATTTTATTTCCATCCAAAAATCTCCCTTTTATCAATCCAAAGTACCATCAAGTGCCTCAAAAATCTCCATTTTTATTTGCAAATTATTCACAAAAAAGAAATTCCTTCATATCAATGTAATGATTATCCTTTTAAATCTCCTCAAGATGAATGTTCGGCATTTTTATAGTCCAAAACTTCTCTTTATGCCTCTCAGAGTATTCATTACAATTGTCTGTACAGAAAGGGGCCCACTCGATTTGAATATGTATTTTTGAGCCTCAAGTACTTGTACATTGTAGTCCATAGTCTTTTGTATGGACGAGAAAAAAAATTATTTTTTTTTTCTAGTTTGGCTACTTAACAAAAAATATTTTAAGGCACAAATGGACAAAGGATAATTGAAATGAGTAAAAAAAACCCCGACATAAGAAAGCACTTAAGTATGTTTTTCATTCTAATCTAATATCCCACCTATATTAAGGATTGTTTTCATTCTGTAATTTAGAATGTGGTGCTTAATCTTTAAAATTGATCCCTTTTTTTCGGTACTTTTTGTAATCCCTGATCTGTTTCTGTTTGGAATTTTCGCATTATTTTTGTCCTTTCTTGTTCTTCTTGTTCTTTTTATCTTACATCCATTGATCTGTTTCTTTGTTTTTTAAGGAATAGAATATTTGTTTGAATAGGATTGAATAGCTGGTGGAAGATATTGATATGCATTGGTTTTGAGTGACTTTGGGTACTTGAAGCTGATTGTCGGTGATTATTGGGAGGATTTTGAATGAGAATGTGGAATTTTAGGACTTGAACCCATGCATTCTTTAATTTTGGTTCTAAGTTGAGTACCTTAGCCATTAGGTCACATAGCTACTATTGTTCGATCAGAGTGTTAACTAGAATATTGAACCATATGTAAGCAAATCTGTCAATTTGAGAGCAACTCTTCTGTGGCCAAGCAATTAAGCTACAGGACTAATGATTTAATCTCTCATTTTGTGAAGTCGTGAGTTCAAATCCTACAACAGATCGACTGCTTGTTTTGAATTTCTACTTGAAAACCACAAAAGTCAATAAACTTAACTTTCGACCCCATAAAAATATTCAACATCTAAACCTCTCATTTACATCCCAATCCCATGAATCACAAGAAATCTCATAAATATCCCTATACATCATCATAATTTAAATTTCAATTCTAATTTAATAATTTTTTTTCTTATTTCATTAAACTCGTAGCGCGCAAAAATCTTCACATCCAAAACAAATCATTTACATTGTAAAATCCTCTCAAAATCAGCACCACATCAACATGAAAAATTACTCATACATTTGTAAATGTGACAAATACAGAAAAAGAATGAAAGAAAAATAAAATTCTAGTCGAGAAATGGAAATTAGAAGAAAAATTCACATTTATTACATCCATTTCTATTTTCTACGCACAAAGGGGAGAAGGAAAAAATGCCAAAATGGAAATGAAAAATTTTTTTACACGAGGGAAAAAAAAGTTTTTAAGGCTTTTGACTGCTCGACGAGCAGGAAAAAATGGGGGATTTCATGCTGCATGTATGCACGGAATGGGAAAAATTATTATCATCGACACACACAATACAAGTAAGACTTTTCTGCGCATGATTGGACAAGAACATTCTTTTGTAAGATGGGATGGGGGGGATATACATCTTTTATGTATAATCATCATCATCGTCATCGTCATCGTCAGTTTTCGATGTTTGTAGGATTTCTTGAATTTTATGTACACGAAAGTGAAGGTTCTGAGGTTGATTTGATTTATAGGCGCATTTTTGGAGGCTTGTTAGTAGTTTTTATAAAGGAGTTAGGAGTATAGGGACTGAAATGTATTTACAACTGCTGATTAGTGCTAGTTCTGGATGCATGGAACTAATGCCTGCCCCAAAAATTATATTTTAAGAATTACCTAATTTTTGGCTAGCAAGAAGTCTAATCTAACGAATGCCTGAGCGAATAAGGAAGAACAAAAACTAAGGACAGCATTTGTAGCAATATTGTAAGGATTCGAACCTAAATCATTAGAAGGGCCCATCTTTTTCGAGCTGAAGGCACTGAGATTCAAATTAGAACCACTTGCAAGGATTCGAACCTAATAGCATCCACAAATCCTCAAAAAATTGCAAACCACCCCCGACAAAATGCAAGTAACTTAACTCATTCCTCCCCATCATCCTCAAAAATCCCGTATGCATGAAAACAAATCATTGTATTGGTTGATGTGTAAAGCGTTGAATGTGTGTGCTGTGAATTTCTGATTTTTCTTTCCATCCATTGAATATTTTCATGTGCAGAACACAGAAAAATTGCTTATGGATGAAAAACTTCGATCTTTAAAGTTCCTCTTTAAAAAACATTCTCTTTAATTTGAGGAAGAGACTGAAGCAATGAGTCATCAAAAAAATAAAACTTTTTCCTCTCCAGACATTCAAGTAAGAGTTTTTTTTCTGTGCAGCTGTACAAAGTTAAATCTACAAAAAAATATCAGTAAAGTGATAGCGAAAACAAGGCCAAATTGTTAGATATAAAAATAGAAGAAAGGAAAAAATGCACAGCACAGAGAAGGGTTTAAAAATTAATTGACCAGACTTTAAAGAACAAGTTAGACACACGAGAGGAAAGCTTTAAATACTGAACAGAAAAAGTTTCTGCTGATATTCGATGTTGTTGGTAGCATTTAATGCTTTGATAGTTGTGTGCTGTGTGCTTTAAAATTTATAGTTTCATCCTTTAATGGACATTTTTGTGGATTTTTAAGTGCTTTAATGGAGAAAAATGTTGATGGTTTTGAGCTTTTCTGCTGGTTATGTTAGAATTCATGTTTTCTGTTGCATATAAACCTCCATCTCCCGCTTAATATAATACAAAAATCAATACTCACGCTTGGGATATTATCACTATTGCATACACCTTCCGATAACAATCGATCACGGATTTCCCATGCAAATATCGACGGACATTCGCGTTTGTAATCAGCAATTTTAGACACAACATTTGCTGTCGCAACTCTCGGCTTTGATCCGCCAATGGCTCGTGGCTTTATTGAACCGGTTTCATAATATCTAAATAAAAATAAGCAATTATACATTTTGACACAGCCACAGAAGATTGACATGATTTAATTACCTTCCTAATATTTTGCTAACACATCCATTCGAAACCTGTAATATGCGAGAAATATCACAAGGTCTGGCCCCTGAATGAGCTAATTCAACAATTTTTTGTCTAGTTGAGTCTGGCAATGGTCGACCTGAAACAGTTGATTGAAAAGAGAGAAATTTTTTCCGATTAGCATATTTTTTGCGGATGGATTAATTTGCGTTAAATTTGAATTTCAGAAATGAAAAATTTAAAATACAAAAATTTGTTAAAAAATTCAAAAATAAAAAATCCGGTAAAAATTTAAAAATAAAAAATCTGTTAAAAATTCAAAAATAAAAAATCCGATATAAAACATCAAAAATCCTCACCATTCACATAAACACCACCCAGCTGATTGATGCCGCTGTGACCAGCGGATGAACATCCAAATAGTGATGTTTGTCCAATCGCTGCATGTCCATGCATTTTGTCATGCATCGACGACGGTATGTCCCAGTATGAAAGAATATTGGAGGCAATTTTGTATAACTTTGTCTTAAATAAATTTTCGTATTTTTTTTTGAGGTTTTTTTGTTGTTGTATATTTTTTTTTATATCCTTTGCTGTCTCCTTTATGGCGTAATCTACTGCTATAATTCGCTACTTTATGGCACCATCGAATGCTGCCTGAAATTATTGATCGTCTGGAAATAAAAAAAGGAGAGCATACATGATTGTTATGTTGCATAAAAAATTGCATAATTTTACAGTTGAAAAAGAATAAATACACAATAATCGATTTCATGACAATTACAAGCGACTGGCATTCGTGCAATAAAAACCGGATTATAGCATGTTGAGCAATTTCTATATTGAGTTGTACACACAGTTTGAGAAGGATTGATTATTAAAGTCACGTGGCAGTTTGTTGAATAATTTTTTTTTCACAAAAAATTTTTCTTTCTTTTTTCTAATAAAAAATCCATTTATAATAAGAGCTGTCAAAGCATAATCAGGAGGGGGTTCGTCCTTCCTGTTCTCCTGTACTAACTGGTAACTGCTATTGATATGTTTTTCTTGTATAACATCTCAATTGAGTAGAGACGACGGATTTTTGCTGTACCACGACTTCACTCAAGCGTGGAATTCAGCACGCGACAGTCTCACTCAGTTTTTCTTGTGAAGATTTTCGCTCTAACCATCCATGAAACATTTCAAAGGAAATTTATTGTGCAAAAGCATAGTTTATGTAATGGACCCTTGAAAATTTTCTACTTTTAGCATGTTTTTAGGGAGTAGGATGTGTGTTTATTGCTGATTCTGTTTTGTTCGGCAGAGTAGTTTTTCTAAGATTAGATATTAGCCTTCAATTTAGATTAGGAACCAAAATTTGCTTCGATTTAACTTCAACTGTTTGCCCTAAGGTTGCCCTTTAAAACTCAATTTGCTTTAATCTGTCCCAATCTTCACTTAAATTGCTCCAATTTGTCTCAATTCGATTCAGGTTTGCTCAATTCGCCCCAATTCGTCTCTATTCGCTCCAATTTGTCTCAATTCGCCTCAATTCGTCTCTATTCGCCCCAACTCGTCTCTATTTGCCTCAATTCGTATGTTTTCGCCCCAATTCGTCTCTATTCGCCCCAATTCGTCTCTATTTGTCTCAATTCGTATGTTTTCGCCCCAATTCGTCTCTATTTGCCTCAATTCGTATGTTTTCGCCCTAATTCGTCCCAATTTCATCTTAACTTGTTTTTTGCTTACTCACAATCGCTCTAATGTCCTTATAATGTGATGAAATGGGCTGAAATTCCCTCAAATTCATCCTTATGTCAATACTTAAAAATTAATTCAAAAAATGCGCTTCTGTCACCAACATCAATCCTCTGCAAACTTCCATCTGATGAGTGCATTTGATGTCGAAATAATGACTTTGATTTTCCTTCTCTTTTACTTTTCGCATTTCTCTTAAACAAACAAAGCAACAACAATCAACATATAGAACGATTAATAACGATGTATGAAATTGCGTGCGGTTGACTAATAAAAATCATCATTATGAGGCATCCGATTGTGAAATGGAGATAACTTCTTTAGATTTTATTTTTTTTTGTTCAATAATGGACCGGATAATTTAGGAAATGTTCCTGCATGACTGATTCTCAATATTTTTTTTTTGAAAATGCAACTTCTCTTGCAGAAAATATCCAAAAATATCTTGACATGTCCGTTTGGTTAGTGCAGAGAATGGACCCTTAATGGTCATGTAATTTTGAGAAAATGTTGAGAATTTTAATTGATTTCTCATGTGAATGCTTCCGAGAAGGTTATTTACTGATCATTAAATATGTAATAGCATGTGTGTTGGTTTTATGCGCCATTGAATGGCGATTTAAGGATATTTTTATGAATGAGGAAAATTTTATTGATTTTCTAAAAGTTTTTTATTTGTTTTTTGTGGGATATGATTATGGGGGAGGGGTGGGGGGATATTTTAAAGTCTTTGATGCTTCAGTTTAAGAGTTTAATATTTAAGTGAAATTTAGATTTTATAACAAACATTTCACCCTAGTGCTGAAAAATTGCAATCAAAATAAATCACATAAATCCACTCATTACAAATTATTACTGTTATTATTATTGCAAAATTTACTATTCTTTAAAAATAAAAGTAATAAAATTTTCTCTGCTTTGATTTGATTTTCACAAAAATAAAAATCCCTCTCGATAATAAATTTTGAAGTCAAGAGGACCCTCTTCTGTCTCATTCATCCATTGCATATTGAGAGTGCTCACAATATTTTGCGTTTAAATCACATTAAAATCAATTAGATTGTAGATATCTCATAACATAGTCAAGTGTAAATTAAAAAATTCTTTCCCTTCGAATTTGAAGAGAGCTTCTTGCTTACTTTAGTGATGTTCTTTGAGAAGATTTTGTCAGAAAATGTTAAAATTTTTAAAATAAATGAATAAAAATGTAAAAAAATTGAAATGTGTTCAAAAGGTATTTTAAAAAATTTGAAAAAATATTAAAATAAAAAAAACGTTAAAAATATTTTTGAAAAATTGAAAACATATTTTCTGAATAATTTTAAAAAATAATTTTTTGAAAACTATAAAAAACATTTTTTGAAAAATTTGGAAGAACCCAAAAATTTGAAAAATGAAAAATCTTTTTTCTGTTTAAAATCATCACAAGCGCCTCAATCTCAACTACCACTGACTATAAAAATCTCTCATCGACTCCTGAATAAGAATTTTCCTTTATTTAAAGTTTTCCAAGATTTATTCACGGCGATAAAATAAATTCTCATTTTCATTATTTGATTTTTGTCGCCCTCCTTGCAGTCACAAACTCAAGCAATGAAGGAAGTTAAAGAAATATTTTCAAATTTTAATGTTTTTGACTCTTTCGATGCAGTTAATAAAAACTTCAAGAGTCTGGAACGTAATTTGTTTTTTTAATGTGCAGAGCGCATAAAATTCACTGCTGAATATGTAATGTGGATGTAAGTGAGTCAATAATTGCAGAAAGGGGATGAGAAATTTTAAAGAAACATAAAAAAAACAAAGCGGAAATATCGTGTTCATGAACGATTGCCTCTGTCGACCCCTTTTACTCTGCCTACGAATAAATTATTTTTTCAAAGGGATGAAAGTCACCCTCAACTTTATCTTCATCTAGCATCATCATTATCATTTACTGTTATTATTGTCACATGAAAAATGTTGATCGTCATGCCTTTTTCTCATTATATAATTTTTGTTGTCAGTAACTGACTGATTTTGGTTGTTGCACATCATTTGTTGATGTGAAAATTGGTGAGAAAAATTCTTTGGTTCGTGACTTTGATGTGGATTTGTATTTTAATGAGGAACTAGCTAAGTTTAATAAAGTTTTGTTTTTAAAAATTCAAAAAATTTTTTTTTAAAAAAAATGAACTTTCCAATTTTTAAAATTTTTTGGCATCAAATCCACCCAAATCCAATCTCCCACACAACATTAATCAAAACAAAAAGACATCTGGTAATTACCAAAATCGCATATAATTAAAAATATGTAAATTAAAGACAGAAACATCAATATTATGATTATATCGACATCATTAGCATCTTTAGTCAATATTTAAAATTCCTCATTACCTTTAACATAGAACTTCTTCTCTCAATTCACCCTGAAATAATAATTTTTGAGTGTACATTATGAAAATATTTGCTCACATTCTCCATGTGCCATTGATTAATATTCAACATCATGTCGACGGATGATTATGATGATGATGCATATTGAAATGATTGTAAATAAAATGTAAATACTAAATAAACTTAAACGTACTTTTTGGCATCGTCTTTGAGTGCTGATCAAATTTAATTTTCATTATTTTTGTTGGAATTCATGAAAAAGTTGGCTGTTGAATTAATTAAATTATTTTTTGAGGATTTTTTTGTTGCCCGAATAGCACAAGTCGATTAATCGAATTGAAATCCGGAACCAAGCTATCATGAGCTTGAACTAAACTGAATCAAGCACTATGCTAGAGTCACACCTGCTTGGTGCTTGATTTTTATTCTATTAGTCGACTTTTGTTATTCGGGTTGACTTTTTGAGGTTGAAATTAAAGTTCAATGTATGAACTTAAATAAAAATGGAGGAGGATCCTACCCTAAGTTCCTCAAAAAAAAGTATTAGGAACTTTATCACCTTCGCAATCACCTCCACCAAAACAGACTTCATAAAATTCAATTTCCATTCATCAACAATTCAATTATAATAAACACAATAAGAAAGAAACAAAGCAATGCCATGAGCAAAATATTTCGCACGAGTGAATGACGAAAATGTATCCGAATAAATATAAAGAAAATTTATATAAAAAATATATTTATTTTTTTCACACTCAACCGTACTTCATAGTCATCAAGAATTCATAATGCATTTCATCATAAATTTTACGTAATGTACATGAGAAGGACCTCCCCAAGAAAATATTATTCAAATCTACCTAATGTCATCAAGATTATTTCCATTTTTGCATGACATCTACAACACACATAGACACACTAATAATTCATGTCTTATGGTGAAAAGGAAAAATTATGCAACATGATGATGATGACTGACTAAGTAAAACTGTTGAAAAAGGGAAAGATATTTTCATAATTTGATTAATATTATTTAGAGAAATTTTGGGCAAATGCCAGAAGGAGTAACAACAATGCCCCTTTTTCATGAGATTCTTATCAAATAATGAAACTTCCTTTTTGTGAAAATGGTCATAAATATTGATGCTGAACAGAATAATAAGTAAATAATGCTTGTTTTGTTGATAAGTTATGTCATGGGTTGTTGTCATGTGTATATGTGATGAGAGTGTGTTGAAAATTCTGAATTAGATTGGATATATTGTGAAGATTTGAGGAGGATGTGAGTTGCATACTATTAAGTAAAAAGTTGTTTTACTTGTGTGATAGAAATCTAGTGTAACATTTAGATGTTTATTGAATTACATTCGTTTTTAAACAAGTCTTTTTCAATATTCTAGATTTTTGTAAAAATTAATAAATTAATCTGTAAAAATTGAACAGAATTGTTGCATAAATTATCTTATTATTAAGTATAAAAATCTAGTTTATCTTACTCGAATTTTTGAAAGAATCTAGTCTATTTTACAGAATTTATTAGAAATCTATTCCACTTTGTAAG